TTTTTCTTACATTTTGTTGTAAACATTTAATTCCTTTTCCCTGCATGATATTCAAACTAAATAAACAAAAATCTTAGCTGCGAAATTTGCCTAATTGTCGGTTGGATCATATCTCGTTCGTTGGATAATTCTGTCTATCTGTATTTTGTATAGAGGACAGTCCGAGGAATTAGCTCTATGATTCGGCGAGTTTCTAAATTTAGGATGTTTTAGACAGTTATAACAATTGCAAATTTTTGAACAGTCATGAATTCCTTGCGCGCCGCATAATTTGCATATCTCGACGTTAGTACAATCGGCCAATTTATGGTTGGGATTAAATTGAAGGCATTTCTGACATTGCTTTACCAGAATCTTATCTTCCACAAAACAGCGTTCAAAGTCAGTATATAATTTATTATTCATATTTTTAAGGATTTGGTAAACCTTTGGAGAAACCCTAAGAACTATGTTGTGGTGGGGCTTATTCGATTTCATGCTAAACAAAACATGGATATCATTTTCCATTTCGTTCAATTCAGGGTTCATACTGCAGATTATTTTAGTAAAATTAGCGGTTTCTGTAAGTTTATTAACATTTTTGACTATTACTGTAGGATCTCTTGGTTTGGGGATAAAAATTTTGCTGATATTTGCGAGTTCCTCTGCCCTGCCTAACTCATCATTTAGAGATTCCATGTCTGATTCTGTAGGGGTCTTTATTATTACAGATTTCCTAGCATTTATAATTTTGTTAATCTTTATTTTTTTTCCTTCGTCCCTAAGCTTTTTAACTTTGCCTGATATAGTTTGATACATTTTTGTATTATCTTCCACATTTATAGGTGTTGCCACTATTGTGAACTCCTTATGTAAATTTTGTTTTTTTTTTATGTAATCTTGTGATGTTTCTGTACGAGCTACTTGAGCATATGTTGGAGTTGTTTTGACTAATTCATCTTGGATCCCTTTCAGTTTTTGGTCCATAACATCTGTAATTGTTGTTTTCATTAGTTCCAATATATCTTGGTTATTTATTTCTTTTAAAGTTGAAATACCATCCTTGGTTTGCCTAACCATAGTTGACAAAAATGTAATATCATTTTTAGTTAGATTTTTTTGATTTTGTTGAACCTTTTTGTCAAAATAGTTATAAATTTCATCCAACTTATCATTTAATGTTTGAATAATTATTTCCATATTCTATTTTTGCATATTTGTGCGAAAACAACAATTGAAAAGGCTTTCAAAAATGACTAAACTCTTAAACAGCGATTGCCAATTAAAAAAAGGTTATAATATTTTTAATTAAACAATTTATAAAACTTTTATAAATTATACAATAAGTAAAATGAATATTTAAAACAATATTTACCGGAACTAGCGGAGCCTAGCGACGCACGTCCGGTCAGTTTCGCCTCCTGGCGGGAAAAACTATATTTATCCTTAATAAATTAAAATACCACGGATGAATAATTGAATTATTTTTTCAATATCAAACGAACCACCCCAATATAAAGTTGATCCTCTTTAAATGTATTATCACCTTTGCTTGAGACCATTTTAATCCAAACGAACCTACATCATAGTGTACCATTCAAAAGTGTACCGAACATTGTGGCGAGCCTGACCAACAGGATTTAAGATGGACAAACTCAAGAAAGCTTGTGATCTTAGGAGTTTTGCGGAGAAAATGGAACCGGGAAAAGTGACAAGAAGGAAGATATTATCGGCAGCTCCTTCATTGTTCGACCCGATTGGATTCACTTGTCCGTTCACAATCATTCCTAAGATGTTACTTCAAGAAAAATGTTTGATTCAAAAGGCTGGATGGGAAAGAGACTTATCGGAAGACATCAGTCGAAGATTCAATGCATGGCTGAGTCAGTTAACTGAGGAGGACAAATTGAAAATTCCTCGCTGTGTTGTTCAATCTCAAGATAGAAGAACATGGACATTGCATGTTTTTATGGACAGTAGCAACGCGGCATTTGCAGCTTGTGCCTATTTACGAAGTGGATTTCCTGGGAGTGTTCAAGTTCGATTACCCATGGCTCGTTCGAGAGTAGCTCCTATGAAGAATACCACTATACCAAGGCTAGAATTGGTTGCATGTGAAATCGGATCTAGATTGACTGTCCACATAAAATCTATGATGGAGTTCGAAGATATACCAATTACATTATGGACGGACTCTACTACTGCTTTAGCATGGATTAAACGTGATATGAACTGGTCAGTGTTTGTCGCAGGAAGAGAAAAGAAGATTCGACAAAATTCAAGCATAACTGATTGGAGGCACGTTCCTGGTAAAGAAAATCCTGCAGACATCCCCTCACGTGGAGCTTCAATCTCACAATTGATTACTACTAGATGGTGGTAGGGACCTTTACCGAAGGACAGAGTGGAGTGGGACACTGCAGACTTTGGAGACCATCATTCTTGACAAGAAAGTCGAAATAAGATCAACTCCTTTAAAGGAGGCCGCAGGCCGCGAAGGAGACAGCCATAGACCAGAGAGCGGCCACGCAGCCTGCTAGAGCCAGCCACGGCTTGCCCCGACTGGGAGGGACCAGGGAGCTCACCCACATGGACGACACGGCCATCAGGAGCACCGCAGGCAACAGGTACCAGCAGTGCTGCCATTGCCAGTACTGTGATGCATGTCCCTGACGCAAGATGCATGTCCCGGACGCAAGATGCTTGTCCCGGACGCAAGATGCATGTCCCGGACGCAAGATGCATGTCCCGGACGCAAGATGCATGTCCCGGACGCAAGATGCATGTCCCGGACGCAAGATGCATGTCCCGGACGCAAGATGCATGTCCCGGACGCAAGATGCATGTCCCGGACGCAAGATGCATGTCCCGGACGCAAGATGCATGTCCCGGACGCAAGATGCATGTCCCGGACGCAAGATGCATGTCCCGGACGCAAGATGCATGTCCCGGACGCAAGATGCATGTCCCGGACGCAAGATGCATGTCCCGGACGCAAGATGCATGTCCCGGACGCAAGATGCTTGTCCCGGACGCAAGATGCATGTCCCGGACGCAAGATGCATGTCCCGGACGCAAGATGCATGTCCCGGACGCAAGATGCTTGTCCCGGACGCAAGATGCTTGTCCCGGACGCAAGATGCATGTCCCGGACGCAAGATGCATGTCCCGGACGCAAGATGCATGTCCCGGACGCAAGATGCATGTCCCGGACGCAAGATGGATGCATGTCCCAGACACAAGATGCAAGTTCGAGTCGCAAGAGTGAAGACATCATCGGGAGTTTTTCTTCGGCCAGTACAGCGACTTTTTCCATTAGAAATAAAACAAATTTAGATTAGCCTCTACTATAGCCAAGAAAATATAGTATTAGAATTTAATTTATTAATTAAATTGGTGGGAGGGATGTTAGTTAAAGGCACGCCCGCGCGAGAAGAAAGAAAACAGTTTTGAACAGTTTTCAGCCAACACCACCGCCGACGGACGGCGGTGACGCCAAGGTCGGCGCACATGCGCGGCGGCGGCGGTCACGTGGGAAGCACGGGCGTGGGTACGTTCGAATACTGACCGCCATCAAGGGCTGACGTCCTGTCCCATCCATCCGTTTGAATCAAACATTTTTCAACTTCTTTTTTACTAAAAATTTAATTTGTAACATTATATTAATATCTATATTTATCCTTAATAAATTAAAATACCACAGATGAATAATTGAATCCTTTTTTCAATATCAAACGAACCACCCCAATATAAAGTTGATCCTCTTTAAATGTATTATCACCTTTGCTTGAGACCATTTTAATCCAAACGAACCTACATCATAGTGTACCATTCAAAAGTGTACCGAAAAATTGTCATTCCTTTATAATGTTTAGTTCTAAGTCTTGTTATAGTTTTGTCATTTTTCTCTCAGAGTTTATTTCACATTTTGATATTTTCTTATTTTTTGTTCAATTATCTTTTAAATAGACAAAAGAATTTATTTATAAAGAATATGTTTTTATTTAATAATTATCTTTTATTTTACAAAAGCATTAGCACCAAATAATGACATTTATTCTTTCCTTTGGCAAACCTTTTGGCTTCCTTTGCAAATTCAACTGCCATTTTATTACCCCCGATCCTAACACGGGCAGGAATCCATTGTAGAATGCAGTTATTCTCCAATGATTCCAGTTGGGTAAGTAACGAGTGTATTTTCTGTGTGATTATAGTATTGCCCTTCTGAATTGCTTCTAGAGCGGATATGGAGTCGCTGTATATTAAAATTCCTTCTGCTTGATGCAGGGATGGTTGGTTAAGGCATAAATCAAGGGCTTTCCAGATAGCTGTCAGTTCACAAGTGAAGTGTGACGATATCTTTCCTTCTCATTCTTTGATTTTGATGTGTTTTCTATCTTGCAGTATTATGCTAATCCCGGCCCCTCCATTACTCAGGGTAAGGTCTGATGATCCATCTGTATATGCTGTTAAATAATTTCTCTTTTTAACTGCACGAGTTTCTTTTCAACGACAAATTAAAATTTTAAAAGGACTAATAAGAAATTTCTCTTTTATGGTTATACTAGATGATAAAAAAGAAGAGAAAAATGTTTCTTTAATAAACGGATTCGATACAAGCTTTCGGGCTGTCAAGCCCTTCGACAGGTACCTGTCGAAGGGCTTGACAGCCCGAAAGCTTGTATCGAATCCGTTTATTAAAGAAACATTTTTCTTAAAATTTTACACAAATAAATTTACTGGCATTGCGTTTCTTTTTTTAAAAATCTCTACAGACCTTACTGCAATGCAGTAAGGTCTGTAGAGATTTAAAAAAAAGAAACGCATTGCCAGTAAATTTATTTGTGTAAAATTTTAACGATAGAGGGCAATAAAATTTAATAAACATTTTTCTCTTCTTTTTTATCATCTAGTATAAATTAAAATTTTATTTTAAGGTGAAATATCGACAATTTCTAACATTTTGGATGAGGTATGAAAGGATGAATTATGAAGAGTAATGACGAACGGAAAAATAAAAGTGTCCAGGTATGGGAACCCACGACCTTCCGCTTACCGCGCAGATGCCATGTCCACTAGGCTACCCTGGACGTATTTTTCCGTTCGTAAATGATACATAAAGTAACTTATAATACAATATAATACACTGCGGCATGTAATTGTAAAACGACACTTGTAAGTTTAACCGCATGAGTTTCTTTTCAACAACAAATTAAAATTTTATTTCAAGGTGAAATATCGACAATTTCTAACCTTTTGGATGAGGTATGAAAGGATGAATTATGAAGAGTAATGACGAATGGAAAAATAAAAGTGTCCAGGGACACTTTCCCATCCCTGGACACTTTTATTTTTCCGTTCGTCATTACTCTTCATAATTCATCCTTTCATACCTCATCCAAAAGGTTAGAAATTGTCGATATTTCACCTTAAAATAAAATTTTAATTTGTCGTTGAAAAGAAACTCATGCGGTTAAACTTGCAAGTGTCGTTTTACAATTACATGCCGCAGTGTATTATATTGTAAAATAAATTATCTGATTGCATAAACTAATTGTGTCAAGTCCTTTCTTTTTAAGTATGTTTTTGTTCTCTTTTTTTATTGCAGGGTTCATTCAGGTTAAGATTGATCATTACATTTGATGGCAATGTGGTAGGAAATATTGGTTCTTATTGAATTTGAAAGTCATTATGTTTCATATTTATGCCCTTTCTAATATTGTTGTCGTACTGAAATGTTGATAATCTTTTGAGTCTTTTTTTTTGCGTCCAGTTTAAAAAGGTTCTATGGAATATGTGTTCGGTTTCTTTACTTTTTTGCTATTGGTAAATTTTATTGTTTTTAATTGTCTTCTGCTTTCGAGGAGGTCTAGACCACATTCTCTCTGAATTTTCTCTTTGTTGGTGGATGAAACAGCACCAGTGATTATTTTGGCCGCTTTTGCTTGAACACTGTCTAGTCTTCTTTTTAGTTTTGAACTTGAGGGAGCCCAGACGAGTGTTGCATATTCCATTATCGGCCTTATTAAGGTGATATATGTTGTTCTGAGAATTCTGGGTTTTGCTCCCCAATTTGTTCCACATAGTCTTCTCAGAATGTTTAGGCTTCTGGTAGCTCTATTTGAGGTGCTAATTATGTGTTCTGTAAATTGCAATTCCTCATCAAGTATATATTACATCTAGGTATTTTGGAGATTCAATTTATCAATTATTAGGTTGTTTATGCTTATATTGGGGTTATATTTATGCGTTTTTTCCCTGTCAGTGGAGAGGACGCATATATTTATTTTTATTGGGTTTATGGTCATTTTGAGTTTCATTGCCCACTTCTCCAGTGTTCTCATTGATGTGTTCAGTATTTTTTCTGATATTTTATAATGCTACTTGTGTGCCATATGGCTATATAATCTGCATAACAGGCAACTTTTGTATCTTCAGTGAGGTAAGGATGGATGTCGTTAATGTTGTGTCGTAATTAGAAGTACAACAACTCAAACTTGACCATGACTCTTATTTTAGCTCTTATTCTTTTCGTTTGGCCAACAATTAATGTCCAATTTATATACACATATATTCTTACATAATGAGATTTTAAAGAATGCAAATAATCTTCATCTATTTACATACACAACACATCTCCCCTCTTAATAATACTCCAGTCGTTCTAGGGGTTTCCTAGCTCTATGAGGTCTAGGACTGCGGACGGGCACTTGCACATCGGCATTCTCCGGTTTAGGACTGCAAAAGGGCACTTGCACAGCAGCAGTCCCCAGGCTAGGAGTGCAAGAGGGCACGAGCACAGTAGCAGTCTCCTCCTTGTTTCCTGATGTAACCTCTGGAACCTCCTCTTCACTTTCTTTCTGACTTCCACCTACAGGCTTCTCTCCTGACGTTCGAGAAGGTATCAAATTTCTTGTCTCCACTTGTTTATTTCTCACAGGTCGCAATTAATTGATATGCCTCTTAAACACGAGGCCCTCGAAACTTATAAGGTAGTGATGATAGCTCAATAATTTCAAAATGGTACCTTTTTTCCATTTAGGTCCAGTTGCATAGTGGCGGAAATAAACCTCGCAACCTGTAGTGAACTGCTTCTGTCTTCTTACGGCCTCATGAAATACCTCTCGCGGATTTCCTATCTTGGTATTAAATTCGAGAATATTGATCTCAAACTTCTCTTCATTAGCAGTTCAGCGGGGGAATTCCTTTATTACAGTTTGGGGGAATGCTCTATGAGCAAATAGGAATATTTGTAGATTCGTCTCTAAATAATCCTTCCCATAATTCTTTCTTAAAAGGTTTTTAAACTCTCTTACATATCTCTCAGCTAAACCATTTGTACTACTATAATACGGTTTGGTCTTAGTGTGCTGTATACCATTCACTTTGGTAAATTGCTCGAATTAACCGGAGACAAACTGTCTTCTGTTATCTGTAACCAAAAATTCGGGCAATACAAATCTGGCTAAAATTTCTCCAAGATGACTGACTTATAAGCGTTTTGCTGGTAATATCTTTTAGGGTAAAATTTACTCGTATATCCACTTTGAGTATGCGTCCACGAGAACCAAAAACATTCTTCTAATGAACGGACCCGCTAGATCAAGATGAAGTCGATGCCACGGTTTTTCGGGCCAAGTCCATTCCGAGGTGGTAGCCAGGGGCAAACTTGCCGATTCTCGGCATACTCTACATGCTCTAGTTAACTCTCGATGTTACTGTCTATGCCTGGCCACCAGAAAATACCGTCTGGAAATCATATTCATTTTAACAATCCCCAAGTGCATTTCATGCAAATCATTTAAAATTAAAGAACTTAATTTTTGGGGAAATACCACTCTTTCACGCCATTAAAGACAACCAAACTCCAAACTTAATTCCTCATTGATCTTATAATAAGGAGCTAGTGGGTTTTCCCTCAGTACCCTTGTGAATTTCCAGTTGCCTTCTCTAACATTCCTTAATACTATAGACAGTATTTTATCTCAGGACGTCTCATATGCCACCTCCCTAAAAGAGAACGGTACCTCATTCAACTTCCTGAGAAGAAGTACCTGGTCTTCATCAAGAGACTCCCTGACACTCGATTCTAAGGGAAGACGTGACAATGCGTCAACATTGGAATTATCACTACTTTTTCGAAACTCCTCAGTATAATTAAATGCATCTAATTTCAAGGACCATCTTTTAATTCTGGATGCTACACATATGGGAATTGGTTTCTGAGGTGAAAATAAATGAATTAAGGGTCGGTTGTGTGTGACTAATACAAATTTTCGTCCCAGTAAGTGTTTTGTTTCCACATGGCAAATACGCAAGTAGGAAAAGCAGAATGATTGTTTACAAAAAATATTTTTTTCTCGTTAGGCTTAATTGAATAGAATGTTTATACTAGTGTAAAGAAACAAATTTACTTATCTTTGGTCAGGCAATCATCCCAAGCTTTACAAATGAATTTATTTTATTTTTCTTTACAATGAATATTTAAAGAATACGATTTAAAGCCGCAGCTATGAAAGGCATGGTTCTTTAGTGGCGCGCGTTGGTAAGAATCTTCTAGAAGGTGGCGAGCTCCCTCTGGCGGAGCAGCCAGACGGCCTCCCATTGGTCAGCGATGACGCAGTTCCTTCACCGCTGCGCGTACACCGCCGCGCGCTGCCTTCTGCTACCTATGTTAGAATAAAACGAAACATACTCCCCTCCTGTGGACGTAGTCCACACACAAGGCAAAAGAAAAGGATCACATAGTGTAGGAAGTTTTTTTTTTTTTTTTTTAAGAAGAAGAAGAAAAAGAATTAGAATGGCAGAAGTGCAATCTTCGAGATGGGTCTTATCAGATGATGTTGTTTCTCTGTTTGAAGTTCCACAACTCGGACATTGTCATCCGCTCCAGGTGACACCTTGGTGATGCGGCCAAGGCTCCACTGCATTGAAGGCATAGGAAAGTCTTTTACCAAAACCAAATCTCCAACCTTCAGGTTGGAAGAGGGTTTTTTCCACTTGGACCGTTGTTGCAGATTGTTCAGATATTCCCTGGACCATCTTTGCCAGAAAACATCTCTGGCCTTTTGAATTAATTTCCATCTAGTTAAGTAGTTGTCATTAGGGTGATAACTGGGCTCTGGGAGTGCTGTTAATGGTCTTCCAATCAAAAAATGTTCTGGAGTGAGAGGGTTGAAATCATTTGGATCCGAACTCATCGGATACAATGGGCGAGAATTCAAGCACGCTTCAATTTGACTTGTCAGAGTATTGAGTTCTTCAAAATTTAAAACTGCAGATTTTAAACACCTTAGGAGATGATACTTCAATGATTTAATTCCTGCTTCCCAAATGCCGCCGAAGTTTGGAGCAGATGGAGGTATAAAATGCCAAGTGATGTGTTCATTAGCGACATAACTTTGAATTGAAGAATCCTTTACAAGTTGATGTATATTATTCAAAATATTCTTAGCTCCTTTAAAGTTAGTAGCGTTGTCGGTGAAAATATCAGAGGGTTTTCCTCGACGAGAGATGAATCTTCTAAAAGCAGCGAGGAAGGCAGGGGTTGACAGATCTGAAACTATCTCAAGGTGAATAGCCTTCGTTGAGAAACAAATGAATAATGCTATATATGATTTTAATGTTACTTTTGTTCTTATGACTTCAGGTTTAGTTATAAATGGTCCTGCGAAGTCTATTCCTGTTTTGCTAAAAGGGCTTGAGGGTATGATTCTATGGATAGGCAGATCTCCCATGATTTGTTTTGACACTTGGCGTTTCGTCTTGAAACATGTCATGCATCGATTAATGAGCTTTTTTACTAGAATTCTACCGGATGGAATCCAGTACTTTTGTCGGATGGCACACAAAGTTAATTGGAGACCAGAATGAAGATGCTCTACGTGGAATTGTTGAACAATCAATTCTGTAACGAAATGGTTGTGAGGAAGAATTATTGGATGCTTCTCATTGAATTGCAGGTTGGATTTGCGCAGTCGACCTCCTACACGTAGAATTCCTGATGAATCAATAAATGGGTTTAAGGATAAAAGTTTTGAGTTTGATGGTAGTACTTTGCTTTGATTACAACATTGAATTTCAGTTTTAAA